AACAAAGGGGATCATCCGCGCCATGAACCCCTTCATTGGACTTCTCTTTTCCTGGTTGGGCCTCCTCAAGCATGGACTCGGTGTAGGAGGGCGTCTCCATAATGTCTATTACACCAGGTGCTTAATTCAGAGTGGAGCCGGTGTATCGGGGGGTCCCAGCCCCATCTTCTTATCGGCCTCCCGAGTCTGAGGGAGGTCGGCCACGCGAATCTCTCCCTCGGTTGCCGCCTGCTTTCCCGGAGAGGTCGATCCATGGGCAATAAAATGTTGTCTTCTTTCGACTCATTCCTGAGCCAGAGAAGCGATTCAGAATCTGGCACCGGGGAGCTGGACCTCTTTTTGAGCTTGCGAGCCACCCTCTTCTTTGGCTTTACCTCGGGACCGGGGGAGCCCGAAAGTTTTCTTTTCCTCTTCTTCTTTTCCCCTGCGGCAGCCCCGTCTGTCCCGTAATAGAGGGATCAACGGACAAGGATTCGTCCTCGTCCCTTTACAAAGGCCTAAGCTCGATGGTCTTAGGCAAACCTATAAAAGAAAGAAGAAAGGTTAGTATGATGTGAGTTAAGAACACGACATAGCTATTCGAAGCAGAACCTTACCATGAGAATGGGCCACCAATCGGCCCTTCGAAAGCTTGCGCCATGAGCACACGAATATGACATCCTTTTGCAGATGTCTTCAATCCACTCCTTAAGCCAGGGGACCGCATTTGGAAATCGAGCAACAGCTGCACAGCCACAAATACGAATGATGAGAAAAAAAATGGAGAAAAATTGACACTTAAGAGAAGGCTGCACTTATGAGATGCATTCCATTTCTTAGGGAATGGCATAAACTCGAGAGGGATCAGATCTTCGATCTTCACCCGAACGAAGCGTCCTTGCCAGCCTCAGCCTCGGTCTTCGTCAATACTCGAAAAGGGGGCCTTGCCCGACTAGTACTTTTGATTAGTCCCACTCAAAAAATTTGGTGACTGTACAGGCAAAGCAGGTGGTCGAGGGTAAACCGACAAGACTCGGTGATATTCATAAAATAGTGGAGGAGGATTACGATCCTCCAAAGAGACAGGTGGATTTTCTCAAGGCACGCCTCGTATCTCTTGCAAAAATCAAATACAACTGGGTCTATCGGCCCAGTGTAAAGGGATAAGTGTAAATACTTAAATACCCCTCCACGTGTGTAGTAATAGCATCCTCAGGCCCGGAGACTACTACGTCCTTGCCTTCCCATTTACAGTACTCTCAGAGCGCGGGAAGGACGTCTTCGATAATAGAGCATATATACCTTGATGCTCCCTTACCCCCGGTCCTGTTTGGATGAGGGTTTCTCGACCTTGAAGTCATTCGCAATTAAACAGTCCCTAGGAATAAATATTTTCAAGGGGGGCTCGGGGGTCGGTTCGGTGTCAGTCAACTCGGTAGTAGACACTTCAGGAACAACCGTCTCGAGGATAACTATTTTGAGAGCGACCACCTCAGTACCGGCGGTCAGATGAGAAGATGAAGAGGCAGCATGTTGAGGAACTGATTTAGACGTTTTAGCAATGATTATCCGGAAAAGTTTGAAAATTTAAAGAAAGAATACGAAGGTTTGAAGGAACAAGTCTAAAGGCTGAAGAATAGAGTATGAAGATTTGAAGAAAATCTGGGTAAGAACCCAAGAACAACTATGAGAATTTAAAGATCAAGGATGAAGATATGGAGGTTTGAAAGGAAGTAGGTGATAGTTAGAGAATTCCAAGGTAAAAGCTTGATCGGAAAGTGAAAAAAGAACAAGAGATAAAAGCTATTATATGGGAAGTACATGACCCTTCGCATTCGGAGGCAACCAGCCGATGGTTGACAAGTGTCCGAAGTCAGAACGATGCGGCTGATGGGACGTTTCGACTTCTTCGTCGTTTCGGTTGTAACGTACGGAGGAAGGAGTCGGAGACATCTATCGTTTCGGCAAACCTATTCTCTGAGAAACGAGGGGACTATCTGTATACGGGTAAAATCGAGGCTAACAAACATCCCGATTTCCCGGTAGGGCAAACGAAGCAAGGATGTAACTACAAGGAATCAAAATCGAAGATGGGAGCTTCTCGTATCAAGTCCCGAACAAAACACCTCCCCTCGGAGTCATCAAGACCACGCCCTCCGGATCCGATTCGAGTTCCAAGACCTTAGAAGCATTACCAAACGCCCGTGCATGATTAACAAAGGGCCGTGATATACGTGCCCGACCGGATATCACGGCGTGAATCTCATCCCGTATCGGCAGCAGATCAGTGATTAGCGAAAATGAAGATTTTTACCTTTCTTAGAATTGTACTTAGGGTAAAACTCCTATACTATATAAAGGGAAATTTTATTATTCAATAAACACACTGTAACACGCATATCAAGGCAATATAAATTTATTTCCTCTGTTTTTAAGTTATTTAAAGGTTTTATTCTTGTTCATCGTTGTTCATATATATTTTTTGGCTACGAGTCAAAGGGAGATTAATTGTTACGCCCACAACCGAGCCCGGATTCAATATTACTGTTGGTTTGGCTATTTATTCTATTTTTCGTTTGCTTATCTAACATTTTTGATCACTTATATTGAATTAATCTACATATCCTTAAAATCACGTATAAATTTAATTGTTATGCATTTTAAGGGTAAACACATGCAATCCGGTTTAATTCTTAAAACGTCTAACTTATTTAAATAATTTTAAATCATTTGCGGTGGCTCTCAACAACCAGCAGATCTAAACTAGGCAAAACACTAGGGAGAAAATCAAACGCATGTGAGTGATTTGTTACATTTTCTCTTAGTCAACTTTACAATGTTAATATTGACCACGTGCGCCTCATTGCCCAAACACAAGGTATAAAGGCCTATAGGCGGATCCAAGATTTTGAAAGAATAGGTGTACTATTAAGAAAAGATGAATCCAGAATATAAATTTTACGGGTTCAACCTTTAGTTCTTACGATTGCGTATCCATTGCACTTTTAGAATTTTAAGTTCAATTTTTTTAAATAGTAATTTTCTTACATATATATCTATTTTCCATGTTGAAAATATTAAGATCAGTTGAACCCATTGACTATATGCTACACCATACATGGTTACTAGTTTTAATATACACATTTTGTTTAATCATATAAGATTTTACAGCGACAAAAAAAGAATAAGAATTACAATGTGTAAAATTTTTGAAAGAATAAACCAAACAAAAAAAGAAATAAAAAGAAAAAGTACTTAATTAATATGTAAAAAATAACACCAGATACGCCCATCTCCCGTGGGCGTCTACTTTTAGAACAAAAACGGAAAAAATAAAAAAATTGACATAAGATTTGAATTCACAACCTCACATAGAGAGATACATTTAATAATCATCACATCATATAATACTTTGAGCATGAGTGCACACACATATATTTAAATATTTTTGAAAAAATATACTCCCTCCGTTTCAATTTAGATGAGGCAGTTTGACTCGGCACGAAGTTTAAGGAAAAAAAAAGACTTTTAAAATTTGTGGTCTTAAAAGCTTAAGGGGTAAAAGTTTTGTGGGGTCATGACATTTGTGTAGTTATAAAAACTTCTCATTAAGGGTAAAATGAAAAGTTTAAAGTTGAATTATTTCCAAATTTAGAAATGTATCATTTATTTTGAAACAAACTAAAAAAAAAAGTATCTCATATAATTTGATACAGAAGGAATAATTTTATTATACACGATTTAGGACGATGAACATGAGTTTACGTATCCTTTGGAACACCCCTAGATACCCCCTAAAGCTTTGTAATATTGTGATGCTAAAAAACTCATCAACTTGAACTCGTTATTGATAGACAACCATGCACATTAGTTGATTGACAGCAAAAAATTAAATGAACAACTTGAAAATTGAAGTACGGAATTTATTAGAAAAAACAAGTCAACCACAAAAAAAAAAGGCTACAGGAAAACAGCAGGACATAAAACCACTATAGCTTTTATTTTAACTATTGCACCGCGGTTTTGCAGGAGCCAAGCATATAAATGTATCTAATGTTGTAGCTCTCATTCTCTCTCTATACACACACATATACATGTAGATATATTCCATCCGCATGAGTATATGTTACTAGTCTGTCTAAAAAAGATTGTTATATTTTATATTTGAAAACAATCTAATCTTAAATGGCTCTCTAAGCTTTCTTTCTTACAGAAAATGTAACTACCTAAACTCTTTCAACTTGTCATGTCTTTGGATAAATATTGTGCCTAAGTTAACAAGATGCTGAGAGTTGAAAAATTAATAAGAAATATCAAGTGATTCTTGAATGCTTCAACTTATGCAGGTGGAATTTAGTACGCTACTATATATATTCTCATTTTTTCCTTAGTGACATAACTTGCAGAGACAAATCTCATATAAAAGTTCACATTATTAAAGAGATGTAAATATCATAATAAGTATGTAAATCTCATAATAAGTATTTTGAAGCAGAGTACATGGCAATCTCAGAAGCTGGAAAAGAGATGATTTGACTCAAGAATTTTTTTAAAGAGCTAGGTAAAGAGCAGGACAATTGTGAGCATTTCAGCCATGCAATATCAAAGCACATCCAGTTGAGGTATCATCATATCCGAGAGTTGATAAGTGAAGGAACTCTTTCCCTGCAGAAAATACCAGGATCGAAGAACCCGTCAGACATGCTAACCAAAGTTGTCGGTGTTGACAAACTGAGGATGTGCTCTGCCTCAGTTAGCCTTCAGGACTGATAGTATAAAGGCGCCACTAGAGAATAGCAAATCTTTTTTTAATTTCTTTCTTGACGTAACATAGGTTTGAAGGGGAGATTGATAGGAGCAAACCTGTTGTTGTATGTGAAAGGAAAAAAAGTAAAAAAAAAGAAGAAGATAAAAATATGATGTAAGCGCTTACGTCAGCATTCTTATGATGTAAGCGCTTACATCGGCAGGGCATTCAAATGCCTATAAAAGGGGTATACATTTTCATTTGCATATCATCTCTCAACTTCTTCTTTCTCTCTTCAATTAATAAAGAGTTATTCTTTGTGTGGCCGAATGCGTTAGAAAATTATCGAACCACGTAAATTTTGTCTTGTCTTGTCTAGTGTAATTTGTTGTTTTTCTCTTTAAATATATTTTTCCCTTCCTTTTAGCCTGACACGTTTCCCAACATTAACTAATGCACCACAGTTTTGCAGGCGCCAAGCATACAAATGTATGTAATGTTGTACTGCCAAGTTCTCATTCTCTCTCTATACACACACATATACATGTAGATATACTCCATCCGCATGAGTTTATGTTACTACTAGCCTGTCTCAAAAAGATTGTTATATTTTATATCTGAAAACTATCTAATCTTAAATGGCACTCTAAGCTTTCTTTCTTATAAAAAATGTAACTACCGAAACTCTTTCAACTTGTCGTGTCTTTTGAATAAATATTGTACCTAAGTAAGTTAACAAGATGCATGAGATTTGAAAAATTAATAAGAAATATCAAGTGATACTTAAATGCTTCTACTTATGTAGGTGAAGTCTAGTACGCTACTATATATATTCACATTTTTTCCTTAGTGACATAACTTGCCGAGACAAATCTCATATAAAAGTTCACATTATTATGAGAGAAAAATAGAAAAAGATATGCGGAATTCTTACCAGTGTACTATTCATTTAATTGTTGATAGAAGGAGCAGTTTTAACACTTTACATGTATGTATTTGGCTTTTTGTTTCAAAGTCTTTCTTTGTTTTACGAACGTCGTGTCCGATCAAAGAGGAAGAATTAATTTATAGCGACAAAATGCGCTGTAATGGAGAAGACTCAGAATAGGACTATAGAGTGGAGGATTAATCACGGTTAATTACTACCTAGTAGTACTGATAATAATTTTGTGATAAAGGGCTAGGTAGGTAGGTAGCTACAAGCATATAAACCATTAATTTTTCTAAAGATTAGTGGTCCAAAGAGTGAAAGATATTCCCAGAGAATCACTACAGTGCAAGCAATAAAACATGGTCATAGACTAATTGAAACTTGCCCTCTTCCTTCTCCCCTATATATAAATGTTATCAATAACATGGCTTATAATTGACACATAAACTCACCCTCTCCTTCTCAATTAGATTTTTCTTTTCTTTTGTCTTAAACAACATTTGCCCCATTTCTTCATAAATGAAAATAGTTGCAATCTTGTTTTCGGCGATTGTCATTGCGTTAGTGATATGGGTGTGGAGAATGGTGAATTGGGTATGGCTGAGACCAAGAAAACTAGAGAAGTGTTTTAGGAAGCAAGGAATGAATGGACATCCTTATAGAACACTATATGGAGACACAAAGGAGATGGCTGAGATGACCAAAGAAGCCAAGTTTAAACCCATTAAACTCACTGATGATATTCTCCCTCGGATCTTCCCTTTCTACCATCATACTTTCAACAAATATGGTAAGTCACGTTGCTTTTACATCTTCATACATATTCCCATCGTACTTTGCAATTCAAAGTGGTAATTTGATTTTGTGGGATTGTTTGGAAAGTTTTAGTTCTATTCACTCACGTTGTAAAGTCATATTACTTATTTAAGGTAATTATATATAAATCTCATAATAGGTGAAAATGATTTTTAAAAAAATCTTTACATTGTGAATGTATATTACTTACATCCTTAATTATTTTAGAAATAAAAAGTGACAATATCAGATTTGTTATAAAATATAAAAATGTTGGGGCAAAATACAAAACTGGCCGGTCAGCTGAAAATAAAGTAATTGAATTTAATTCACATATCTAGAAAAAAATATACATTTTATCGGCTATTATTTTTGGAAACAACTAAAAACTTACGTTTCTCAAAATTTTCTTTCTCTTCAAATGGGATCTATGCAATAAGGTGGAAAACAATAAGAGGGTTTCATTTGAAAAATCAGTATGATTTTGAGAAATGACATAGTGATGTTAAGATGGTGATTAATGATTATATTCTTGTGATGTAAAATAGTTGCGTAACCCTTACTACTTGAGCATGAAAATGACCGGTCAATGAATTTTAACCATATATGTCATCAATATACGAGGTTAATCGATCGATCAGCTAATAAGGACTGGCCCGATATGGTTTGTGTGCATTGAGGTCCTAATTTTCTTCTAAATCACTTTAATTAAGACCACTCATTTAGTTTAGGATTCATAAAGTTAAATTTGCACTTGTACTAATTTGTACAGTATCTTTTATTTGGTGAATAAATTTATTTGTCGAGTAAAAACTTGTTTTATTTACACCTTTTTTTAACACCTTTGTTCCTCAACTCAGTGTATCTTTTATTTGGGAAAAAATTCATTTATTAAGTTTTTTGGGTTAATGGAAGTTTACATGGTTAAAAAAATAAAAATATTATTTGGTGAACTTGGGACGGATTATAGTTCAGAAACAAAAGAAGACTTTGCAAATCTTCATAAGTTGAATGATTATTTGAGAAATTCGAAAGTTTAGTGGGTGATATGGCATGTCACGTCATCTTTTCGGCACCGAAAAGTAGCTATTTGTTCGGCTAAAATGACTTTTTTTTGGAAGATTGGGTTAGTGTTTGAATGATTTTGTTGTTACAAAAAATATAAAAATAACTTAATTGTGGTATATTCATAAGTTGGAAGACCATTTAAGTAATTAATTCTCGAAATGATAAGATGAATTTTGACCATAGATGACTAGCCGATAAAGATTGGACGAAAGCAGATCGTTGAAAAATTGGCCCAATGGTCTGTGTACATTGAGGTCCTAATCTTCTTCTAAATCACTTTAATTAGGAGCATTCATTTAGTTCAAAGTAGCTGGATGACTAATTTGTAGAGAGTATAAAATATAATGGTTAATTATAATATAAAAAAAACGAGGAGAAAATAAAGGACCAATTTCCATGTATTAATGCAAAAATAAAGGGACAATTTTCCTTTGGAGCGTTATTTATATTCACTTTTTTGTTCCGACTGTGAATGAGGAACACTTCTATATCAAATGATAAAAAACTTTATTTGCTCGAGAACAAACATGCATGTACTGTAGGATGAATTGCATTATTCTGTAATGAAAATAGGGAACTTGCTGTGTAATTTGTTATTTCTGAATTAAATCGAATAGATAATTTGTTATTTCTGCGTGTTTCCCGGTAGGTAGATGGATTTTAGCTCGAAATCAGATCTGTGTCTGTGATCTGTGGTCCTTTAAATTTCATCGAATCATTGATCATCTTTGTTTGTGGTCCATTTAATTTAATTACTGTTTTTATATATATCGTTAGGGTTCAACTCATGATTCTTAACCTAGTGCTGTAGCAAAAATCTAGGACCGCCAAATGGCTGACTTATGCTTTTTAACTTAGAATTTACTATGTTGTATGTACTAACGTTGTATTAGCAGTGTAAAATATGTATAATTTAAATCATTTTACTTGTATATGACGGGCATAGTTTTTTTTTCTCTTTTTAAAATGATTCCCATATTGAAAAATGATTATTTTCTACAAATTAAAAATGAGGTAAAGAAGGGAACTACCGTGCACAAGGTTCCCACACTGAAATAATTTGAAAATATTTTGTAGAAAAGAAGAAGAGAAAGTAGTAAAAGGAATAATATAAAGGGTTTTGATATTCTCAAATGAAGATTTATCGTAAAGGAAAAAACAAGAAGATTCAGCACTATTTTAGGTTGTAAGAGAAAGTACAAGGCTCTTTTCTTCTAATTAATTTAGTTTTGAATACGAAGTTGAATTATACATTTCATTTCCAAATCTTTCTCACATGTGAATAAGCTAAACTGTACTGGCTCTGACTGTACATTGTTTGATTATAGTCAATTTGATCCAGCTTCAAATTATCAATGATTTATGAAATAGAGGAAAAAAGGGAATAATTCTCGGAGTTACTATGTATTTATGTTTATTCATTACGCAGCACTAATATTAAAGTGGCTGAATTACAGGTAACCATTGTTTCGCATGGATAGGCCCAGAACCCAGGATTTTCGTAATGAAACCAGAATTGATAAAGGAAATAGTAACGAACAACACCATCTTCAAAAAACCAAAACCAGCCCCACTTGTCCAGCTTCTTGTTAGTGGCATCTCAAGTTATGAGGACGACAAATGGGCTAAGCACAGAAAAATTCTTAACACTGCATTTTACGCCGAGAAGTTGAAGGTAACCATTTCTTTTTACTATTTCCTCCAAATCAATTAAATTACATTGTAACCATTAAAGGTTGCATGTCGTCATGGCTGGTAAGTACCCGTCATCCTTAATCAGATGTTTCAAGATTGAGTCCCGGGAATGGAGCTTTTAGGAGACAATTTACTAACCAAAATGAGACTTTCCGACATGAATACAGATTAGTCGGCCCCAAAGCGAGTACCATACCCACACATGGAATGAGAAACAAAAAGATTAGTTACATTAATGTGGATATATTTATAGTAAGTTCGTAATCATTATTACAAAGACATAGTGAATGGAGCAGTACGACGTACTCCAACTAGCTAGATATATACTACGCATTTATTAATCCAAATTTTAAATCTCCCCTGCTATATGTTTCGATGGGAATAAATCCTCTAATTACCTTTTTTCTGAAATTAATGGTGTTTGAAAATAGTGTATGCTGCCGGCAATGCACACAAGCTGTGAAGATATGATCAACAAGTGGGAAATTCTACTCTCCGAAAACAAATCCTGCGAATTGGACGTGCATCCATATTTTGAAGATTTTACCAGTGATGTGATTTCAAGAACAGCATTTGGAAGTAGTTATGCAGAAGGAACAAGAATATTTCATCTTCAAAAAGAACTAGCTGAACTCACACGCCAAGCTTTCCAGTCTGTTTATATTCCTGGGTGGAGGTATATATAAGGATTTAATTATACTTACTCTATTTTCACACTACCAATATATTTTAACATGTGGTAGCAGATTATCTGCATCTCTTTTCAAGTTATTGATCTCATTTGTTAGAGTTTAACTTCAATATCAGGTCGACTAAAAGATAACGCATGTAACTCGGATAATAAGTGGAACGAATTACCTGTAAAATATGAAGACATGTAACATATTACAACAATTAAATTGTACACCCTCCGTTTAAATTTTTGTGAACTTATTTGACTGGGCACAAAGTTTAAGAAAAAAGAGAAGACTTTTGAATTTGTGGTGTAAAATGAGGCACATATATTTTGTATGACTATAAATCATTGCATAAAGGTATTTTTTTTCAAATATCTAAAAAGGTCATTCTTTTTTGCACGAACTAACAAGAAAATAGGTTCACATAAATTGAAACGGAGGGAGTATATGCTGTCAGTATAAATATTGTTTAACAGTGTCGATATACAACATTGTCTGTAATATCTGTCGTTTTTATGTAATTTAAATGACGTTATAGCGTAAAAATTCTTTTGTAGTGTGAGTATATATGCAGAAGTTAAACTCATGCTAAACAAGAAGTAACAGAAATATTTGGTGATTTTCTCCAAATAATTCCGCTACTTAGCTGATGTGAATTGCACAGGTATTTACCAACAAGAACAAATAGAAGAATGAAAGCAATTGACAATGAACTTAGAGATATTTTAAGGAAGATTGTGAGCAAGAGAGAAAGAGCAATGGTGGGAGAAGCAAGTGATCAAGAGGACTTGTTGGGTATTTTACTAAAGTCCAATTTGAAGGAAATACAAGAACGTGGAAGCAAGTTTGGTATGACAACTGATGAGGTGATAGAAGAATGCAAAGTTTTCTATTTTGCTGGCCAAGAGAGTTCTTCAAATTTACTCGTTTGGACTATGGTTTTATTAAGTGTGCACCAAACTTGGCAAGCTCGTGCAAGAGAAGAGGTTCAACAAGTGTTCCAGAACAATAAACCAGATTTCGAAGGGTTAAGCCGTCTCAAAATTGTGAGTAATTAACAACTAACAACGAGTTTTAGAGCTTGTTTCCTAATTTCCCGTTGAAAACAAAATTAAGTAGGTAATAAAAGTGTGTTTTCTTTAACATCTTAAACTTTTAGATAATAAAGCAGAATGATTCATGAAAAAAAGAATCAGGTCAGCACATGACGTAACAGGTGTATTCAAGATTGAATTAAATTTATAAATGGGATGATTATACACAATACACACTTCGACATTTCTGAGTTATTCTTTTAGGGGTTAGAGGTGGTTGAAGAATAAGAAAGACCAAGATTTAAGCTATCAAAATGTGATGTGCAGGTCAAAATGGCAATAACATAGGAAATGATTTAAGTAACTTGTGTACATACTAAAAGAATTTTTGCATTATTACTATATTTTAACCCTACATTTTTAGGTTACCAAATTTGGATTTTTAATAGAATGTTACTTGTTGTTATAAGCCACCTTAACCTGATGGTGAAAAAATATTATATTTCTGCAGTTAATGCACAGAAGTTAAATTCTATTGGAAAATTTACTTTTAACTGTCCAATAGTTGGATATAATTAACAAGAATTCTCGAAGTCATGATTAATATATATAATCTACATTTTCTGTATTGAGAATATGCAAATATTTACACCATAATATTAAGTTGACCTATAATAACAGCTAACTGCTAAATTTTGTTATGTAAAATAAAGCGGATAACTTATTATAATATTTTAAGTATGATGATAGCTAGCTATCATCAATTTCTTTTACACACTCATTATTTATGGACTTAACTAACTACACCGTTAATTACTAGTATACATTTCCATTAGGCTATATATTGAAGTATAACATACTTCATTTCTTATTGATAAACAGGTGACTATGATCCTGAATGAGGTTTTAAGGTTATATCCACCTGCACCATATTTCGTACGAAAGGTATACAAAGAGACAAAGCTAGGAAATATGAGTATCCCTCCTGAAGTGATCCTGGTAATACCAACAATATTTGTTCATCATAATCCAGAATTATGGGGTGAAGATGTTAAGGAATTCAAGCCAGAGAGATTTGCTGAGGGAATTGCAACAGCAACAAAGAACAGACTTTGTTTCTTGCCTTTCAGTTGGGGTCCTCGTATTTGCATTGGTAATAATTTTGCAATGTTGGAAACTAAGATTGCCTTAGCAATGATCCTACAGCGTTTTGCTTTCGAGCTTTCTCCATCTTACGCTCATGCACCTACTTATGTCGTCACTCTTCGACCTCAGTGTGGTGCTCACTTAATCTTGCAAAAATTATAGGTCCTTAATCTGGATTTCCCATTATTGAGTAGTGCCTAATAAATCTTCTCTATCACTATTTTTCCATCTTTCATGTTGTAATCTTCGTTTAATTTCTTTTTTCTTTATTTCTTTATTTATCTTTTCTTTTGGGATGTCTTTTTTGCTGTCCAGTTTGAACAGTGCTAAGTAATTAAAACGACTTCCTGAGCTGTGCTTACAATTATTGGTTCTTTTTTGCCGCCTAAAAAATGTCTAGTTTACTTAGGTAGGTTACTAATGCCACCTTCATTCAAATGTATAATTTTCAACACTTCTGAAGGGTACAGTGCACCAGATAATGCGTAGAAAGCACGAACACTTAATTATTTAGTTTCCCACCATTACCTTTACCTTATACATATTACGCACTCTATCCGGTTAAAATTATTTATATCTTCCAACTTTGCTTTATAAATTACACTGCTCCTTCAGTTTTAAACATTTCACCTTCTCCTCCTCCTATTTTAATTGAGTTTTTAAAAATACCTTTTGTTACCCTTTTAATTTGTATACGGGTAAAATCGAGGCTAATGAGCACCCCGATTTTCCGGTGGGGCAAACGAAGTAAGGACATAACTACAAGGAATCAATATCGAAGGTGGGAGCCTCTCGTAATAAGGCCCGGACAAAACACCTGCTCTCGGAGCCATCGAGACCACACCCCAGGATCCGGTTCGAGTTGCAAGACCTCGGAAAGCATTACCAAATGCCCGCGCACGATTAACAAAGGGCCATGATATCCGTGCCCGGCCGGATATCACCGCGTGGATCTCGGCCCGCAGCAGATCAGTGATTAGCGGAAAGGAAGATTTTTACCTTTTAGAATTGTACTTAGGGTAAAACTCTCCTACTATATAAAAGAGAAGTTTATTATTCAATAAGCACACTGTAACACGCATATCAAGGCAATATAAATTTGTTTCCTCTGTTTCTAAGCTATTCAAAAGTTCTATTCTTGTTCATAGCTTTTCATATATATATTTTGGCTACAAGTCGAAGGCAGATTAATTGTTAAGCCCATAACTGAGCCCGGATTCAATACTACTGCTGGTTTGGCTATTTATTCTATCTTTCATTTGCTTACCTAACATTATTGACCACTTGTATTGGATTAATCCACACATATTTAAAATCACGTATAAATTCAATTGTTATCCATTTTAAGGGTAGACAGTTTGGCGCCCACAGTGGGGCTAAGGATAATAGTGGTAGTTTGATACAAATTTCCATAACACACTATATTTTATGCTTGTTCTTTGAGATTTTAATTTCAGGTCTACCTAAAAATGTCAAACTCTCAGTCTGCTCACTTGAACGTTAATGTTGAGTTTGGCCATCACAGCAAAAATAATAATATAGTTCCTAGCAATGAGTTGCCCCCTGCTGATCCCAACGGAGTCCCAGTTGTAAACCCAGTCGATGCCAACTCACATGTGGCCATCGACGCCAACCTACCGACCGACCCTAAGGACAATGTTCGTGGAGGAGCCAAACCAACGACTCGAGGTACCCCCTAAGGTGAAGGCGACAGGATCAATCTGCGGGTGATCTTCGAAATGTTATAAGCCCAACAGGCGGCGATAACACAGCTGCAGAAACAAATCCGTGCCCCTAGCAGAGTTGAGCCCGAACCATCCTGGGAAAACACCCGAAGAAATGGGCAAGTTGCAGAAAGGCCAGATGAAGCTCAGCCCGGGGCCAACCCCGAAATAATAAAAATGCTTGAGGAACTGACAAAGCGGGTGGAATCGAGGGAGAAGAAAATTGAGGCCAACGACAAAAAAGTGGAAACCTATAACTCTAGAGTCGATCAAATCCCAGGAGCGCCCCCGATATTGAAAGTCCTAGACTCTAGGTAATATGTCCAAAAGCCTTTTCCTCTGAGCGCAGCACCAAAATCAATCCTCAAGAAGTTCTGTATACCCGATATTCCGAAGTATAACGAAATCACGAATCCAAATAAGCACGTGACCTCCTACACTTATGCCATCAAGGGAAATAACTTAGAAGATGACGAAATCGAGTCGGTTTTGCTAAAAATGTTCGGAGAACCCCTGTCAAAAGGAGCAATGATATGGTACTACAACGTACCCCCGAATTCTATCGATTTGTTTGCTATGCTTATAGATGCCTTTGTAAAAGCACATGCCGGGGCCATCAAGGTCGAGACCAGAAAATCGGATCTTTTCAAGGTAAAACAAAGGGACAACGAAATGCTTAGTGAGTTCTTATCGAGGTTTCATATGGAACAGATGGACTTGCCTCCGGTTGCGGATGATTGGGCCGTTCAGGCGTTCACTCAAAGACTTTTACCTCTGAAGCTCCTTGGCTTCACAGCAGTTAAAACAAAATTTGATAGAGTACCCGACCGTAACTTGGGCCGACGTCCATAAATGGGACCAGTCAAAAATCAGAGTCGAGGAAGAGAGTCTAATTGAGTCGTCGATCATGAATAAGGACCGGACAGAGACCGGTATCAACTGTATAATGGAGAGCGAATGAGTAACGGATGTGGGCGTAACCCTACAAGAAACGAGAAGAGGAACGATCGAGGCCACAATAACCGGGGACTCATGAGAAAAAATGGCTTCGATAGGCGACTCGGGGCCAGGGAGGCACCAAGGTTATCGTAATATAACGTCAATGTTAATGTTGCCAGCATCATATCTGCCATCGAGCGCATCAAGGATACCAAGTGGCCTCGGCCATTGCAGTCCGACCCTACCTCGAGAGGCCCTAACCTGATGTGTAAGTATCATGGCACTCATGGCCAAAGTGCTGAGGACTGCCGACAATTAAGAGAAGAAGTGGTCCGGTTATTCAATAACAGGCATCTCCGGGAATTTCTGAGTGATCGAGCCAAAAATCACTTCAGGAATAGGGACTCCAACAAACGGATCGAACAAGAAGAACCTCCACATGTCATCAACATGATAATTGGAGGAGTCAATATTCCCCAGTAACTATTCCTAAAGCGCACTAAGGTGACATCACAAGGGAAAAACAAACCTGAGATTATATCCCGGAGGGAACCATTTCGTTCAACGATGAGGACGTCGAAGGCATCGTACAAGCGCATAATGATACACTGATAATATCTATACTTATAAATAAATCTCGAGTTAAGCGTGTGTTGATTGATCCAGGTAGCTCGGCTAACATCATCAGTTCGAGGGTCATAGAGCAGTTGGATCTACAAGACCAAATAGTGCCAGCAGTTTGGGTTTTAAACGGATTCAACATGGCATGCGAAACTACCAAAGGAGAAATAAACTTGCCAGTAAATACCGCCAGGATAATTCATATTACCAAATTCTACGTGATCGAGGGGGACATGAGGTATAACGTCTTATTCGGAAGGCCTTGGGTTCACAACATAAGGGAAGTACCCTCGACACTACACCGGGCACTGAAGTTCCCCACACCAGGAGGAATCAAGACAATTTAAGGAGAGCAGCTGGCCGCAAAAGAAATGTTTGCAGTCGATGAGATGATCCCGATGTCCGCACTCTCGACATCAAAGAACACGGAGCCGGTTAGGAAGGAAGAAACTAAATAGCGATCACCGATACTGGACCCGACTAAACCAAAGAGTCGGTTAGCATACGAGGATGATGATTACGAAGTCCCTTGGTTGTTCATCGCCCCTGATGATTCCGATGCCACCAAGTTAACGGTCAAGGAGCTGGAGCAAGTCATATTGATCTAACACTTGCCCGATCGGAAGGTATACCTGGGCACGGGGTAAACTCCCGAGCTTAGGAAAAAACTCATTGAATTCCTTATAGCTAACATAGATTATTTCGCTTGGTCCCATCTTGATATGACAAGGATCCCGGCAGAGATAACCACTCATAAGCTGAGCTTGGATCCGAAGTTCCACCTAGTTAAATAGAAGAGAAGGCCTTAGTCCGAAGTCAAGCATGCATTTATCAAAGACGAGGCATCTAAACTCCTTAAAATAGGTTCCATTCGGGAAGTTAAGTACTTGGATTGGTTAGCTAACATAATGGTAGTGCCTAAAAAGAAAATAAATCAAGAATGTGTGTAGATTACAAAAACTTGAACAAGGCATGCCCTAAGGAATCTTTTCCTTTGCTTAACATCGACCGCATGATCGATGCAATGACCGGGCATGAGATACTCAGCTTTCTCGATGCCTATTCGGGTACAACCAAATCTGGATGAACCCGGGCGATCAAGAAACAACTTCGTTTATCAGTAAATTTGGCACCTATTGTTATAAAGTAATGTTGTTCGGACTAAAGAACGCCGGTTCCACTTATCAACACCTACTAAATCGGATGTTCGAAGAACAGATAGGAAAATCAATGGAAGTTTATATTAACGACATATTAGTTAAGTCCCTACGAGCAGAGGACCATTTGAAACATTTGCAGGAAACCTTTGACAAATTGAAGAGATATAATATGAAGTTAAAGCCGGAAAAATGCGCATTCGGGGTCGGATCTAGATAATTCCTTGGATTCATGGTGTCCAACCGAGGGATTGAGATCAATCCCGATAAAATCAAAGCTATAGAAGACATCACCATGGTGGACAGTGTCAAAGTCGTTCAGAGGCTAACCGGGCACATAGCCGCCCTGGGCTGGTTCATATCGAGGTCCTCAGACAAAAGTCATCGGTTTTTCTCATTATTGAAGAAGAGTAATATTTTTTCTTGGAACCCAAAATGCCAACAAGCTTTGGAAGAACTCAAACGGTACCTTTCGAGTCCACCCTTGCTCCATACTCCGAAGGCAGACGAGCACTTGTACCTTTACTTAGCGGTATTCGAGGTAGCGATAAGTGAAGTCCTAGTCCGGGAAGAGGAAGGTATGCAATTTACTATTTACTATGTTAGTAGAACTCTAGACGAGGCCGAAAACAGGTATCCTCACCTGAAAAAATTGGCGCTCGCTTTGTTAAGCGCCTCAAGAAAGTTAAAACCGTATTTTCAATGCCACCCCGTATGTGTCGTAACCTCTTATCCACTAAGGAACATTATTCACAAACCCGAGATCTTGGCCCGGTTAGCAAAATAAGCCGTAAAAATTAGCGGGTATGATATTGATTATCGATCCCGAACCGTCATTAAATCAAAAATTTTGGCAGACTTCGTGGCCGACTTTACGCCGGACTTAATACCCGAAGTCTAAAAGGAATTGTTGTTAACCTTGGGGA